TGCTTTATCTTGTGCATTGATGGCTGTCATGCAGGAACTCCATTTTCGGAGTTGGATTTATATGCAGGGCAGTCACCTTGATATATCTTGATGTTCTTTGTCTATACAACGTGAGCTTTATAATGATTGGTTTTGTGCTATTTACCTACAGTGACATATATTTTATTGGGGGCTTTGGTACTGTTGCTTGGGTTGATGTCAAAGAGTACGAGGCTCTTCAGCCTGATAAGATTGCTGTTGATGGGGGTGAACAAAATTTGAAGGTATGTCATTTGGCACACTTGTCATTTCAAGAATGGAGTGTTAACATTTCGTTCTTGTTTTGTTATATCCCTAATTCTGCCTTTTCCTAAGAGTGCATGCCCTGCACAATTCTTTTCTTCCCATCAAATAAGAGAGAACTAGCAGTCATCATATCAAAGAGAAATGGGCAATAGCTATGTGGTAGAGCTGTGAACGTGGAGGACGCTGGTTTGGGATGGAGTTAGGTTTAACCAATTTCAGCTGGCTCATTTACTTTGTATATACCTTGTTCAAGCTGGATTTCCAGTTTTCATAAGCAGGACTACCATGACTGGACTGCTTCTGCTGGCAGCTTGGAGTGTTTCCAAAATAAGCTGTTTTCTACCTATAAATGATTTATACCTTTAATTGACGCTCAAACTTGAACTGGGGTGTTGAAATTAAGCTAAAAGTTTTTGTCGAGTTTGAACCTAGGATTTTTGGAGGAGAGGAATTAATATACTCAAGGTTGAGTCAATTCTCAAGCTCAAAACTAATACTACTTTTGTTGTGTTTATATGTTATGGATCAGATTTAATGTGCATTTATCTACAGGTCATAAGAGGATCTTTAGTTGGAACTCGTGTTAGTGATTACATATTTGGGACTAACGAATATATGTTGAAATAGAGAGTACATTAGTATCTTTATGATATGGTCATAGGACTCGCATCTGAACAGCTTTGTTTTTCGACTCTCTGCTATTTTTCTTTTATAATTTGATAAATGTGCTCAACATAAATATGGCTGTCATTTGGTAAATATACCACACCACACCATGCCTAGCGCTGGAGAATGGTTGGATCTTTGTTATCCTGCCCCAGGACCAGGAGTGGGTAAAAGGGTCTTCAAATTCTAATGTGCTTTTGCCCGAGTAGGAACTGAATGCAATATTTTCAAAGCCCTTGAAAGAGCTGTTGTGTCAAGAAGTTGAAGTGGATGATGCTGCTCTCATATCAATTGATAGCAAGGGGACTGATATCCGTGTCCGTCAGGGAGCACAGGTTCTTTTTCTTCCCATTTTGCAATTTTTTATATATTATTTCGTGGAAGCTATTGATTGTCTTTCACCCTTGCTGCCATGCAGTTCAACATACAAAGGATATCTTTTGAAGAGGGGCATTCAGCTGAAACGCTGGAAGAAGCCAAGGCAGCCCTCTGGAAGTTGATAAATAAAGGTCGTCTGTACAACTTACACAAATAAAAAAATGTGTTTTTTTTTTTTTTTTTTTATGTGTGTGTGGAAGGACTCATGTGGTGAGCTTCTTAAGACTGTATGTTGTAATATATATTATTAGCCGGAATAAGGTGTGACGGTCCACATTTTTTGGGATATAAAGATTGTGTGATGAGTTCGTACGGGAATATGGTAGCATTATTAACAAAAGAAAGAGATGAGCTCTTGGACTTGGATGATAAAGAGATCTCGTGAAATAACAAAACAGAGAATTACAAACCGAATATGGCAATGGATAAGAGTATACAAAGGCAAGGCTGAATATGGCAAATTTATTAGTTTGGGCTTTGCTTCTTTTTTTTTTTTTTTTAAATTTTAATTTATAATTTAAAAAAAAAAGAAAAAGAAAATGGTGTCAGCAAGCTCCAGATTGTAGTCAATATGAAAGCTCCAGATTGTGGTCGTGATTACAATAGAGAATAGCGGCAGCAATTGTAAGGAAAGAAGAACAACTAACTAACTACTTTACCTGCCTTTATAAAAAAAAAAAAAAAAAAAAGAAGAGTATTCCTCCTTTCTTCATCCAAAGGACGGTTACGTTGTTTTAACCAGAATTACTACCGGTGAAGAAGATTAACAAAATCTGCCGGATACAAGTGGAGACCAATCAGTGGCCAACTGATTGATAAAATGAAAGAACAAGGCAAGACGAAGAAGAGACAAACTACAGAGGAAATTTACAGTAGTTTGCTGTGGTATCAAAGGAGGAAGAAGAGAGAGAGAGAGAGAGAAAAAAAAAAAACTAGAGCGTTCTCCCCTCTGCCCACACCCGAGAGTGTCCCAGTGGGCCCCCACCACCACCACCACCAAAACCAGCAGGCAGCAGCAAAGGAAAGGAAAGGAAAGGGAAAGGGTTGCAGACAGACAGCAATCAGGTTGCTCCGATAGACCCTCTTGCCGCCCACCCATGGCTGAAAGGAGAAGAAGCAACGGCAGCAGCAAGTCATCATCATCATCATCATCATCACCAGGTACAGCAGCAGCGACAGTGTGCAGAATACCGGATGACCACATCTTCTCCATCTTGTTGCGTCTTCCAATAGACTCAATCCTCTGCTTTGGGATGACTTGCAGAAGATTGAGGTCTCTTACTTACTCCGACGCTCTCTGGGAATCCATCTGCAGGCGCGACTGGGGTTCCTCCTCCGTCGATGACCTCATCAAGGCCCATGACCCATCAATCCCCATCGCCTGGCAGAACCTCTATCAGCAGCTCCACCAGTTGGATTCTGTCTATTGTCGGAGGCTCTTGGCTGCTGCTGCACCTGCAACACCGCCAGCCCCCGACATGGTCCCCAGCCCAAGAGCTTCTCATTCACTTAATTTTGTGTCTGGATGTTTGCTTCTCTTTGGTGGCGGCTGCGAGGGAGGTCTGTTTCTCTCTTTCTTTAAAATGAAAGGAAAAAGAAAACTAAACTCCCTCGTTTTTCTTTTAAGTATTTCTTTCTTTTGCCCTATTTCTTTTCCTCTTTTCTTTTTCTTTTTTTTTTTTTTGGGTACGCAAAAGATGAAATTTTTTTTTTGGCCCCTAAAGATTGTTCTTTTGTGATTGCTTTTCTTGTTCTTTTCCCAATTCCAACCCTGGTTTTGCATATAAGCTCACAGCTTCTGTGATTGCTTTTCTTGTTGGATCCATCTTAGCCTTGACGTCATATCATAACATTTTCTTGCTCAGAGTTAGTTCCTTGGTGACTAAAACTCAACTCGCAAATGCGTTTTCTTTCAATTTTGGATTCTTTGAGCATGATCTTCTGCATTCGGCATACTGTTGGACCATAGTCCAAACTGAATCAGCTGGATCAATGTGTTAGAGTCTCTACTTTATGTTGCGTTGATCCTACTCTACTTTGAATCAATCAGTTTCTTCTTGGTTTTACAGTCGTATTGTCTTCCTTTAGGTCGGCATCGTGATGATACGTGGGTAGCATATATGGGCAATGACTTGAGGAGGATATTGAAGTGGCAAAAGATCAGTTCAGACATCCCAAGCGGACGATTTGGGCATTCGTGTGTTGTAGTTGGTGATTCCCTCGTCCTCTTTGGAGGGATCAATGACAATGCGGTCCGGAAGAACGACACCTGGATTGGACGTATAGTTCTGCATGAGACATCTGGTATGACATTGTCCTGGAGACTGCTTGATGTGGGTTCAGTTGCACCTCCACCTCGGGGTGCTCATGCTGGGTGTTGCATTGACAAGAGGAAGATGCTTATTTATGGCGGAATTGGAATGTCTGGTGTTAGGCTGGGTGATACCTGGGTTTTAGATCTGTCAGAAAATCTTTGTTTTGGAACTTGGGTAGAAGTTGTGACTCATCCATCTCCTCCATCTCGTTCAGGGCACACACTAACTCATATTGGGGGAACACGAACAATCTTGTTTGGTGGAAGGGGATTGGGTTATGACGTGCTTAACGATCTATGGCTCTTTGAAGCATACGAGGGTTTTTGGAGATGGTTACAGTTGCCAATTGACTTGCAAAGCATCCCACATGGACTTTCCCTTCCACGAGTTGGTCACTCGGCCACACTCATCTTAGGAGGTCGATTGCTTATTTATGGAGGCGAGGATTCATGCAGGCACAGGAAGGATGACTTTTGGCTTTTGGACGTCAATTCATACAGGCAACCCATTATTACTCTCCCGCTCACAAAAATGTGGAAGAGGCTGAGAGCAGTGGGTGATAATCCCAGGTGCAGATCATTTCATCAAACTTGTGCGGATAATTCAGGACGCTACTTGTACGTCTTTGGTGGGATGGTGGATGGCGTACTTCAGCCTGCTGAATTGTCGGGGTTGAGGTTTGATTCCAGTCTTTTTCTTGTGGAGCTTTTGCTTCTGTCCTAAACGTTTACACAGTATATTATAAAAGGGTTTGATGATGCCAGATATCGTGGATGCTGCAAATCTGTGAAGCTTGTAAATAGTAGCAGCAGCTCTTTTTAGGGAAGTGCTTCATTAAGATCGTTGTTGATGAGCTTCATCAAATAGAAGCTTGTAAATAGGAGTAGCTCAAAGACGCGACTGGTTTGCTGATTAAAAAGGCCCAAAAAAAAAAAAAAAGGAGAGGACTAACCGGGGGAGCCCCTGGCCGAACAGAGTGGTTCTTTGCCTTTTCGGATGGTAGCTGGAAATGCCCTGAACAGAATTGGCCTTAGCGCTGAAATTTAAGGCTGATAAATTCCGGATGTTTTTGGTACCATCTTTTCCTGCCAGTTATTAGGTGGTCTTTTTCAGCTTTTGATTTCTGCTGTATCATATCATATACGCCTGTATTTTTGAGTTGTGCTACTATAAAGTACGGAATTAACAACACTAGTGATGGAAGAATGGGAACGTGCGTGCATATCCCTAGCAAACCCAATGATTCTTCGATGAAAAAGAAACCAAACCGTATACCCGCTGTACTGCGATTCCCTTGTTTAGATGCCAAGTATATGATTTAGAACACTATTAAGGAAGCAATTCTAACAAGTGAAATGAACTTTGACAATCAAAAGTTCCAGTATTATACAACATTCAGTTGACATCTTCTAGGGAGCACTGCATACAAGTTCATGAATCTTGGCAAAACCAAGTCATGATTGTGTGTGCCCCTCTGGAAGAACCATCAACCCTACATATCCATCTCATACCAGCAAAGATACAAAAGTAATCAAAAAATGGAACTAATCCCTCCCACAATTCCCAACCCCTTCTCCATTTCCTCCAGACGATGTAAACAAATCATTATCACTATAACCTACCTTCTAAACGTACCAAAAAGAAAAAATGCAGATATGCTGAATACATTAAAATAACTGGCAAAAAATAACTCATAAGTGTAACTTAGTTCTCCACATTTCCCCAATGACCTTCCTTGGTGCTGGATCATCAGGTCCCCTGTCTCGTTGTCCAGACGTGAAGTACAACCATCCATTCCAAAAGCCAACAAGAGTAGTTTTCACTCGATAAGGAAGCTTTCCCACGACTGACCATTTCTTTAGCAGTCCAAAACCAGGATTGAAAACAAAACAAACAAAGAAAGAAAAATATTTCAGAAAGTCAAATACAGATCAAGAAAGAAGTTTCATGAGAAGATACCAGCAAAATCGGTTGCAAATAACCAGCAGCAGAAATAGAAGAGACCCAAGAATACTCAAGAACTGACTAACACAGTACAAAAGCAAACACCTGCTGTAACGGATTTGCATCTGGAGAGTCTAGGCTTACCACCACATTATGCTGAATACATGTACACATTTATGCTTGTATGAGCACACAAGACACTTTTTTTTTTTCGAGGAAAGAGAGGGGGGGTTGATAATCCATCTCCAATGTTACATCTGCTGAGTTTGGTAAAAGATTGCAGGAAAAATATCAGCAGAATAGCAACGATTAATGTCTTTGTCTAGGCTATATACTTTTTTCCTAAGTTTTTGAATACGGGTAACAAGCTTAACTAAGGGCTTTTTGGCTGAACTTCACCCATAGAGAAGATGCGTCTTCTAGCATCAAAAACATTAGACCATTAATTATCAAGTTTTTTTAGACATTAAGCATACCAGTGTATCTAACTGAAACACATTAAGCATACCAGTGTATCTAACTGAAACTGGAATACTTCTCCAACAAGCGTCATCTTCTTTGTTTCAGGGTGCTTCTCTGTTGTGCCTCCAACAATAATGATTGAATTATTCACAATTTTCCAAGCAAACTCTATGTGTGAATCAGGCTTTGGCATAGGCGGTAAGACCTTCCAGTTCATATCATCATCCAGCATGTAAACATCACCATAGACAACCTGTAAGAGTCTCAAGCTGCATACTTTAGAATAGATCTTAGATGTTTCCAAAATATTCACTTTGCTTTAGACAAAATTCTCGGTCTACTACTAAAGAAGAAGTGAATAAATCAGCTCATAACTAACGATGTCATGAGATATTAAAAATTAAGTCCAATTAGAGAAAATGACACTTGCCACAATCATAACTGGTAAAAGAATAAAGCACTATGCTGCTCTTTTTTTTCTTTTTCTTTTTTTATTTCATGAGTAAAAGTGCTTAATGTAGGTGAAAGAAGTATATTACCTCATTCCTGCGAGAGCACTTAAAAATAGGAGACCCAGGCTTTGCCATAAAATCACCCTCTTGACCACCTATGACGTACAATCGATCATCAACCACGACACAAGCCCTACATGAATGTGGTTTTTACACCAGAAACAAGAAGATCATTCACTCGTGCTGGAAATTCCATTGAAATTACAACTGCAAATTGAAAAACTAGTGTTTCTGAATCGTCCTTAGTGTTTTCTCTAATGTCTTTTAAGAAAATCTCCATCAATTATAGAATAAAGCCCTATTGCACGATAAATATCAGAGATAAGTTCTTCACCTTCCATTGTTTTAGCATATCTTGACGGAAACAGTAGTCATCCATAAATACAGTTGTGAAACCAAATTTGAGCTAACAAAACTTTGTTGTCTAATTACATCAGAAATTCAAGCAACATAGAATGGTCACGTTAACATGAGAATAGACTCCTTAATAAATTCAAATCTTTACAAATCAAACACTTGCATGTTTAAATCTGATCTTTCTAAATTATTTGACATTTAAATTCCCAGCAACAGAAAGCGCGATTGTACAGATAAGAGAAGAAACCAAATGCAAACTTAAATTTTTATGTAGTGAAATCTAACCTCTCTGGAAAATAAACCAATGAAAAAAAGGAACTCTTACAGACAGAACCTGAACAAACTTTCTTCTCCGCCATTACTCTCATCCCCACAAACAGACTAACTGTTTTATTTACTGTGACATACAATTAATTCCAGGTAAGTAGTGGGAACAAACCTGTGAGGTCCACCACGGGGTATGGGAACCTCAGTCCGCCACTCCTTCTCTAAAGCTTTGCCATCTTTTACCGCAATACTCCAATGCTCTAATCCAGGTGCATGACGATTCTCTTTGCTGCCACCCATCACATGAAGTCTTCCCCTCCAGAGTTGAGTTGCAGGTGCATACCTGAAATTATCTGAGTAAATCTTTAACGAAGACATGTACAGAAGTGACAGCCACACCACAGTTGCGTTCTGGGATACACCTAGTGGAAAGTGAATTCAGTACATGCTGAAAATCACATCACATCTTTCATTTTAACAACCATAGGAGAAGGCCATTCAACACCCAACTTGCGCTCGAAAGTAAAGGTGCAGCTTCAAACATGCTCTTCATTAAGTAAGACGGAGGGCAACACTATGTGCTAGACAGGAAATATTTAGTCCCCAAGAAAACCAAGTCCAAATACCAGAATTGGCACACACAACAGAGAATAACAACTTGAGCATTCACAACTCAAAATAGAAGCAGGACAAGACGCCATTTGGACGACAAAGTCATGCAAAAGAAAAAAATAGATTGAAAGCTCAAGAAAATCGAAGATTAATAAAACTAACCAGGCGGAATGGACCATTCATACCTAGGGAGAGGAAGAGGAGGCATGTTGCTCCACTGCTTCGTCTGTGTGTCAAGCACAAATGTTCGTGCAGTGGGCCCTCTACACTGAGGGCCATATTGCCCAGTAACTACAAAAACATACCTCCCATCTGTAACCATACCCAAATGTGAATGGGCCATCTCTTTAGGCATATCAAACCTTCCTCCCCATGTATTGTCGGTAAAGTTATAAATGTCCACATGAGAATGCACCTACAGCAGAGAGATAAAGGGATGATATAGTGAATCAAGTTGAGGTAGGAAATATACGGTGTAAATCGAGAGAGAGTAAGAAAGGAGAGGTGGGAATGGGTTTTACATAATCAATGGTTCCGTATCCGGCAAAGACATAAAGGAGATGGCCGATCTGAATGGCAGCACCGTCAAGACGAGGGACGGGGGCAGGGGCCATCTTCTCCCATTCCAAGAGGGGAGCTGGCAAATCAGAAAAGGTAGCTGATAGTAACCTCTGATTGGTCTTTACATGTTTGTCGGCAGCGTCCTTGTCCTGCATAAATGAGAGTGCACACAAGGGGGAAATAAAGCACTCGGAAAATGAAAAGAAAGAAAGGCAGAAGCAGTAGCAGTAGGAAGCAGCCTGGGGTTTGGTATATAAATACTGAAAAATCAGAATTAGAGTTGCTGCTAAATATTCGTGTTAGGGTTTATGAGTTTATTACTTTCATTATTTTGGTTGTTTGCTCTAGAGATATGGAAAAAAAAAAAAAAGGAAAGGTGAAAGAAAGAGGAGGAGGAGGAGGAGGGGGACCTTGAAGGTAGCGGGTGCGGAATGGGTGTGATTGGGGAAGGGAGAATGGGAGATGACGACGAAGGGCGTGGAGGAGGAGGCAGGAGAAGGAGAAGAGGCGGCCCAAAGTAGATCTGCGATTAGAGCAAAACCCAGTAGGCCTACTATGGAGGGCAACACCAATTTCTTGGCGGCAGCGGTTTTATGCTGCTTGGCGGTAGCTGCCGTTGGCCTCCCCATATGTCAAATCTGAATATCAACAACGTCGCGATCTCGTCATCATCTTCTCTGTTGTCGTTGTAGCCTGAAATATATAATAGCAGCCGTTTATGATCCATGACCCATCATCATCATCCACTCGTCTTCAATTCATTCATAGAAGATGTACACATTCATCCTTACAATCATATTATATTACCATTCTCGCCCCTTTAATAATCGATAAAATGTGACAAATTATGTGTCTCCAGACTTTGAATTGAATGCTCACAGAAATCAAATACCATCTGCTCCCGCTGTCCTCCTGCACGCACATTGATTCCTTTTTTTTCTTCTTTTTTGGGGTATGAATGTATTACGCGTTCCGCGGTTTCGTAATACTACCCAAAAAAAAAAAAAAATCTGCCCTAATTGGTATCCGGTGACGTATCAAGAAAAAAAAAAAAAAAATAGACAAACGATCATTTTTAACAGTGCACGTCACTAATTCAGTTAGAATTTTTCAAATTTTCATTAGAAATCACATATTTTTTTGACAGAAATAAAAAACTAAAATGATCACAATGATAGATAAAAGGATCGAATTTGCTAGGCACCAAAAATGCCATTTTCCCTACCACTGTCTAAATTTTAATGAAATTATGATATTTTATACACAAAAAAGAGAACATTGGTGTGCTATTTTTTATTTTATTTTATTATGTAGAGACTTTAACTACTCATTTTTTAAGGTAGCCAAGCTTGGTCGCTCGACTCTTGCATAGTACATGTGCCTGGAGGTTGGGGCTTCGCAGAAGAGGAATCCTTCCAATCCCAGATAGGTATGTAGCGTACTTTGGCACTTCAAATACCGCTGCCTAACTATAATCACTCCAACACGGAGGGATTCTAACCATTGATCCTTTAGGCTTCAAGCTGTTGGCTACCATTAAAGACTTTAAAATCTTGATAAAAGGAACGTCAAGAGTTCAAACATTCTCTTCCATCAATTGTCTGCCATCAATGCACCACTACATTTCTTATAAATCCATACAAGTGCATAATTCACTCATCTGATCCGATGGTGACCCCGTTAAACCTCTCCCCCATTAGAATAAGTTAGACTACAAGTAGACTAAACTAGTTGTTGCCGTCTGATAAAATAAAATAAACACACTAAGGGATTTTGGGTGGGCAGTTTTTTATCTTAGGAGAAGACCACACACACACAGACTTTTAATCATATCATATCCAATTCCATCCCCCTCCCCCCCAACCATTGCCTTTCTTCTCCACCCTCTTTTCCAAATATATCAAGTACCACCAACACAACAAATAGAATCTGCTCAAGCATGTATATACAGCATCAAGTTTTCCAATTGCTACTATATATAAACCATTCCGGTACAAAACCTTTCATTTCATGCTAGTATAAGAAATTAATAAAATGAGACCCCCCTTACTCAAAGGATTTAACAATTAAAAAAAAAAAAGCAGAGAGAAGAAAAACCATGCACAAACTAACGACAGCTCAATCAACCACTATATTTTTGCACTCCTCTACAACCACTACCTATATTGCAAGACAACAAACCTTCACAAAGCAAATTACCCAAAACCAGTCGATGTCATTAAGAAACGAAACCAAATCCACTTAATTATACTGGGATCACATCTATCTTTGATGCGTCTTCGCAGCTCAACACCACACCCTCTAAGCTTGCCGGAAAGATACACTTGCTCCACTGGCATCCTGTTGTGAACGGCTCTGGAGGCGGAACTATCATCAGCACATTCTCGTTTCTCTGCACAACTCCCATCACACTCACCGTGCTCCCTTCTTTAATGTACCTAAGCCAACACGAAAAAAAAAAAAAAGCATTTCAGACACCCCAGCAGATGGAAAAAGCATCATCCCTTTTTTTTCGTTCTTTTCCAGTTTCCTCTTTTTTCTTTTTCTTTTTTGTGTTAATCCCCCTTATGGTTAAACGGTTCACAATTCTACCTTAGGTTATGTAGCTTCTCTAAAATGTGAATGCAAGTCATCAAAAACTGTACCACAACAAGGCCAGAGCAGATTTGAATTATCACTCCATTAATTATATGGAGAGCACTTCTAGTATTACAATGAAACTTCACAAGTACATTGGCAACATGGCATTAATTTTGATGAATAAGAAGGCTTACCCTTCCTTCAACCGCATCACTCGATTATCGCTCGAAAGATTCCTATCCCCCAACCATCTGATAAAATCAGGAGACAGCTCCTTGTTCAAAGGATTGACTTCAACAACGACAGATTCCTGCACATAAGGAGTCACCCTAGCACCATAGCCTGTCTTAACTAAAGCTCTCAAACCAGACTGAAAATCAGAGATGTAGAAGTCAACAACGTGCCTCTGCAAATAAGTCAAACATAGAGCAATTCTCAAAATCTTTGTCATGATCCCTGCAATGCAACAAGAAAAGCATGTACCACCAGAAACATCTAAAAATTTTTTAGCATGTAACAAGAAAAGAGGATCGGGATAGAACTCTGCTACCCTAAAGAAGGCTTCTTACCTGTCCAAAAAGGGGAAAAAAAAGAATATTGCTGTATGTAATTAAAAAAGATTGAGAAGCTAAGTACAGGAACGTACTTCTGATGACCTAAGCCCCCACGTAAAACGACGATGGGTAGGATTTGCAGCTTTTGAGTCCCAACCTCGATACTCATATAAACTTGTAGAAGTATAGACACATCTTGGCACCTTTTGGAAGGATGATTCCAGGGGTACATTTCCACAAGTCACCACCTTTGCAGTTTGACCATAATTTAACCATTAGCATAGGAGATCAAACCACCAAATTCAAAAGCTATAAAAGGCACTTCAATAAAAGTCCAGCAACAGGAGAAAAGGCTAAACACAATGAGGTAAAACACACTAATAAGAATGGCCAAAAATCCTATGCATTTTTTACACAAAAACATTTCTGAAGCAATCCAAAACCATTATTGTTTAATTAAATTTCTATAAAACAAAATGAAAGCAGGATCACTCATCACACGGCCTCTAACATCTAAAGCTGAATCAGAATTCAAATTTGCCCAAGCTCCAAATACATCCTCCTCCAACTGATAGCACTCCTTCCAGGGAAATGGGGATACAGAAGGAAAAGAGGATGTAACCATTCTGAAGTTGCTATTTGTTGGCCAGCAAAAAGCCAATAGTGGTCTTTGGATTAGCATCAGCTTATGAGCAACATAGCAGTTATTGGCCGCTAGGACCATAGACCTTCAAGACAGGCGTTCATACATGGTAGATGTTAGTCGCGGCCCAAGCATTTGTTTCAAGACGAAGTCAGATTGAGATAGCTATTCGTATGTCCCTACATTACAGTAGAAGACAACACTGAATGGAAGGGCCTTGTAACTCTCTCTCAGAGGAACTGGAATCTTTTTCATTTTCATGCCTCTGCGAGGCTGAACATTCTATGGTACAAGTACGGAGAATAGCTTTGGGGGTGATTCATGATGTCGCCAATTCAACTATGGAAACGAATAAAAAATTTAGTAGAATAGAAGTACTATAAATCAGAATTAACAAGTACTTACCCCTGAAACCTTGACATATTGCCCATTCTTTGCAGTTCTCAATTCGGCATCAGGATAATTGGCAATGAAACCAATTATAGCTCTTTTCCCCCAACAAGAATTCCAAAGGAATAACGCCGCAACAATGGCGAAGAGAACAACAACAACAATGAGCAAAATAGCATTGTGCACGGCTCCAAGGATAAAGCCACCAGCAATGAAACCCATGATGAACAGCAAGATCATTGCCCACAGGATAGGCTTTGGAAAATTCCTCTTGAAGGAATAGTCATCTTCTTGACTAAGAGTAGTCACAGCTGGGTTGTTAGCAACAGAAGGACCATGTACTTTGACTGACCCCATTGAGTCCAAAGGACCAGAGACCTTACGTGGGGCACCAGATGAATTCAACGGACCAGAAGAGATTGGACCGGAAGTAATTAGTCCTGTTGTAGGAAGAACTGGAGCGAGTGGACCGGAATTTTGGCGGGCAAGGGGGGTGACCCCACCAGATTGTGGGCCAGATGATTTTTTTATAGGTTCCCCATGTTTACTCAAAGGCCCAGAATTTGATTTCTTCATTGATGCTGAACCAGATGCTCCTGCAGATGATACTGGACCAGAGGTGGAATAGCTGGCTCTAGCAGCAGTATTAGGATTGATTGGTCCTGAATGTGAGGCAGCTCCAGCAAATGATCCAGTCCTTGAAGGAGCATTGGTTACAGGTCCAGATTTCCGTGACTTAGAGCCATCAACAGGAATATCAAACATCTTTCCAAGCTCTCCAGACTTCTTGATATCACCACCAGTGTATGGCATGGCCACAGAGCTCATGGTTGGTGTCCGCTCTTTCGGCTGCTCAGGCCGGCCAGATACATACAAGCCATTGCTCAGCTGATGAGATGGAAATCTAGAACCCATCCCGAGTTCTTATCATGCACTAATGAAGCACAAGTTCTGTAGCAGCTGTTATGTGTGGCTCTGAAATCTAATATCCCCATATGAGCCAAAGAAAATGTTGTCAGTCAAAAACATGCTTCATGTTGCAGAATGCACGACAAAATTATTGAAATAAGAGCAACACGGTAATTATGGTGTGTGCAATCAATAGCAATAACTGGCAAATTGACTGAGAAACAAACCATGCACCAATCATTACGTGGCAACAGAAGCTGCTTTCCCTCATTATCCAAAGAAGAAAATGGATGGCTATCCATATCTCAGTAGCATGAACCAAATAAGAGGGCAGATCACTAATTGAGAAAAAATCTCAAAATGCACGATGAATGTCATGAAGCAAAAACTTTCTTTCTTGCAATTTGAGTCCCAAAATATTTTGTGAACTTCCTATTCACAGTAATGCACATCATGTAGGACAAGCCCTTGCAATTGGTCCCTCTTCACGCTTGAACCTAAATTTTAAAATTCAAATTCACGGACTTAATTTCAGGGAAGTTTCTTCAATGAAAGTGTACAACCCACACTATAACCAATAGATCATTTACATGGGGATAGCCACAACTATGATTCTCACAAATAGATCTCAAAACAAATTTACATTCATTTGATCCAACACACTCCTACACAAACCCCAAACAAGCACACTATGAGTTTGAAAGAAATAACATAGGGATGGTCAAAAGAGTACGTTAAAGGAAGGCAGAGAGAGACAGATAATCAACAGATACCGTAACAAATACTAAACATATGAAATATTTGGAAGCAACAAGCATCTAAGAATGTTCTAATATATGCACACTATCTTTGACAAACGTAGGTAGAGAAAGTCGACAAAACAAAGCCTGAAAAAGACACCAACTCGACGGCCTTGATAGATTAGTGATAATCGGGGGTAGATCACATAGAACAACTGTTGCATCTATTGCAAAACCAAAAGTTTTCCATAAAGAAGCATAAATCAACAGACACAAATAGATATTGCAAACGTGAAGCGAGCAACAGCTAGGGCAAAGAACCGCAAGTCAGCAGCAAGTCAACAGCTAGGATTGGCATTTCGTTTTCTTCAAAATCAATAAGGACAAGTCAGCAGCAAGGCCAAATGGAGATGTAAGACAGCTGGGACTTAGATCAAACCAAATAAAACACTTTTTTTTTTCTATTTTTTCTTAATATATAGGTAGCAGCCCTTTTACCAGACCAAGAAGTAACAACTCCACTAGGGTTTCCTTTTGTATATTTTCCCCTTCCACCGTTAAAGCTTCAACCGAGTCATTCTGAGCTCTGGGCAGTCCAGGAATGCAAATCAGCGAGAAATAATTCGAGGAGAAACTGCCTAAATTTGATAACCCTACCATAACAGACAGCTATGTAAATTGGCATACATTTATCCAGTTCATAATGGCAGACCTCAAACAAAAGTACAAACTTTGGCATGAAATCGAGAAAACAAGGCAGACCCATTTCACCCAAAGATCGGGGGCATAACCAATGGAGAATGAGAAAGCAAAGAGAATGGCAAAATAATAACAACAAATGGAATAAGAGAGAGAGAGAAAGAAGAAAATTAGGTGAAGGGAGGGAGGTTTACCTGAAATAGTAGCAATTAGAGGAAGGAGAAGGGTGAAACCTGAGGGAAATACAGATCTGGAGACATGAGATGGGAGTAGAATGGGATGGTTGATGGAATATGAATAGTAGCAGTAGCACAACAAACACAGATGCGAAGGGATGAGATGAGATGAGGAAGAGCAAAGAGGAAAATGGGGGGTTTGGGGGATGATGTCTCACTCTAATTGATGTAATTTGGGGGTTCAGTTAGTGATGGTTGGGATTTTGCTGCTGCTGATGTCGTCGCTGTAGTCGTTGCTGGTGCGATCCCATCAACATCTACTTCATTTCTTTCTTTCTTTCTTTCTTTGTTTACTTTTGTTCTCTCTCTACACTCTCTAAGCACCCCCTTCTCCTCCTAGTACTATATCTTCAGAGTGCCGCAACAACGGGTGGGTTGTCTCGTCCGGCTATAACCTCCTCCAACATCCCAATTTTTCAAAAAATTTATATATATATATTTATACATCATCCTACTACTAAAACATGGACACTAAAAGTTAAAAGAAACAGAAATTTTTTTTTTTAAAAAAAAAAACTGAGAGATAATAAATACTACTATCTGGTTGTTAAGTCTCAAGGTCGTCACATTATCAACTCGACCTAATTCGAACTTTTCTTCTTCTTCTTTTTTCAAATTAACAGTGCGGCTAGAGAGCCGGTTTGGAATTTTTGAAATAGGAAAAAGAAAATTAAAAATAAGTAACGAGAGAAAATGAAAGAATTACAAGAAAAAGGAAGGGCTAATTTCTCAAAATTATCTCAAAAAGTTCGGGGACCTCTTCCACTCAAATGTGGGGAATTTATTTTTTCCCCTTTTAGGTGTCAAACACTTTATAGTTTTGTTTGACACCTTTTTAAGAAAATAATAATAATATTTCTCAGTCGCCACATAGTATTATGCAATGAGGAAGAAAAAACTTTTTTAAGATTTTAACCTGCCTTTTGCCGCACAATGCTATACAATGACGAGGATCATTTTTTCCATTTCTTTCGGTCAATGCATAATTGTTTTCGGCAATTGACTCACTTATTTTAAAAAAACATAATTTTATTTTTAATTTTTTTATAATGACAGTTTTATTTTTTTTAAAAAAAAAAAACTCGGTTCGATCGGTTCAATTTGTTTTTTGAATTATTCATTGAATCGAAGCACGACATGACTTTATTTGCGGTTTGATTGATCAAACCGATCAATCCGATCCGATTTTCAAAACACCAGTTCAAACTGATGCATCTACAAAGTGGTATCTTTTGCAGTTGCACCGTACCATCAACGACAAATGGTTTAGAAATTAAAAATCAATTAACAAGGTGAAATAAGCACTTAACTTAATGCTAATTAATAACACCTACACAGGCCAACAATAACAAACCCCACTCCTACCTTCTCACTAGTTTTCACTAAGGGTGATGCTAAATCAAATAGCTAAACTTGAACTCGCAAACTACTCAATCAACAACTCGATTTGAATTCACTTTAATCGAGTTCAAACTGGAATTTGAGTTGCTCATTTGATCTCACAAATCGAACTCGAGTTCCAAATTCTTGTACATGAAGGATCAATGAGCCTAATCGAGCTTTTTATAATATCTATTTATTATTTTTAAATTTTTATTGCTGCAAAATGTCGATTATATTATTTATTTAAATTTATATATAAAATATTAATTTTTATTATGCGAGCTTGAATGGACTCGATAGAAATTGATTAGAATCGATTAGATTTAATTAAATTCAAAATCAAGTTTGAGTTCGACTAAGGTGAACTAAGTCGAACTCAAGATCAAATATTTTTATGTCGAGTCAATTTCGAATTGTGCATTATTCGAACTCTGTTCAAATCGAATGCACCCTAGTCGTTGCACTTTCTCTTACACGATCTAGACTCTGCAATATGATGGGAGTTGCTCTACTCTTTTTTTTTTTTTTTTACTGGAATCCAGGAAGGTATATAATACATTAGTTTAGTATGGGGAATGCTATATGCATATGGCTATTCCTTCCCGCGCATATCCAAATGCAAGCGTACTACAATTTCTGCCTTATATAATCTATGCTATATTTACTACTACCTATATATTATTTTTTTATATATAAAGGGAAAAGGAGGTGTTGGTGTAAATTTTTGTTGGTGGCGCTTTATATCCTTTCATCTAATATGTATTTCTTATTATTTTGTTTTTTCAACTTATTTAGTGAACCTTAATTTTTATTAACAGCTATCAATTATGGCTATGAATTACTACTAAACAATTATTTATTTATATATTTTATTTTAGTGAATTTTCTACATGTCTACTACACCAGCATAAAACTAATTCTCTTGAATATGATTTCAAATATAGTTAAAAAAAAAATTGACACATATTTCTTTTATTATTTGCACACACATTCATTCATGTATGCCATAAACATTAGCCATATAAGTAGTGTAATTTTAATACACCCTCCTCGTGACTCGGGTGGGCCGGCGTAAGCTGAATGACCATTTAATCCCTGATGACCTCATTGAATTCTTCTATCTACGGCTCGTTACGGAGTTATAGTAGTAGCTTTTTACAGCCAAACTATATGAACTAAATTGACCGATGATCCCTGCTCATCGCGAGAGGGTGCAGAACAAAGCCATTAATTATTGTGTAAAACTTAAGAAAGTTGAAGAACAAAATAGACTTTAGAAAACTAATAAATAATAATGATTAAAAGTAATCTGTTGCTTCTAAAGTCAAAACATCTGCAAGTTAATAGAGAGATTTGCAGCACGAACCCAACATTTTGGACACGAACATTCGACCAAATTTCTATCTGGAAAAAACATATGATAAGTACGACTCATACAATGAAAACATTTTTTTTTTTTTTATAAATTTTTTCAATGGGGTCAGACGTTCACTGGGGCTGTGGGGTTAATAATTTCCGGGGTTGTTCACAGTTTGATTCCCTCCTTTAACTTTCACTATCCAACTATTCAGTTGTTAGTTGTTACAGGCAGGTAAGGTTCCCCAACCCCAGCCTCCCTCCTCTTCAAAAAAAATGATATGTAAGGTAAAAAAAATGATTCCAGAAAATCCCTTTCAAACTAAGGCCGTCAAGGCAGGGGAGCCGGTGAGAGGTGGGGCTATGTTGGCCCGGCGGAAAAATTGTCAGAATAATTTGAGAAGTTGGTGGCGGTTGTTACTTGTAAGAACGTGCAGAAGAATGGAGGAATCCACGTTCGCTCACCGTAGTCCCTTGTCCTCTAGCATATGTATGTTTAATTATTAAGTATATATATATATATATATATATATATATATATATTTTTTTTTTTGGTTAGAAATTAAGTAGATTTATCATCATCATCATCATCATACAAAAGATACAAGCTCCCCAAGCATAGCATTAGCTATTCATCCACAATTTCGTACTCCCACGTGCCGAAGCTGGATAATAAGCCCAAAAAACCTAATGCAGCAGCTGCTTGCAATATGATTTCCTCTCTCGTATTTCTCGAGTTATTATGGTAACAAGAAGGAACCACCAAGTCTGAACTTATTCGGGCCAAAAGACGAAGTACAAGAAGAAGAATCAAAGGAACCTTCCCCACCACAACCTACCGTTAAAAGACACGCTATAAAGAGCATTTTCTCCCTTCCCCGCCACGCTTTAAAGGCCAAGGATGAGCAGGGAGAAGCCATCCCCCTAGAGGGAACTCTGGAGGGCTGGTGAAAAAGGCTATAGTGAATGAGCCTAGACAAGAGCAAGGTAACCGTGGAAGATTCTGCTAAATCAGCAGCAAAATTTGCAGGGGAGGCGATGGAGAAGACAGCAGACAAGGTCAAGACCACCCTCTTGTCCCGTGGAAGAGGTTACCTCAGGCTCGCATTCCCAATCCCCGGCTGAGCTCTGAGATGTCTAATGCTCTCTTATCAGCACATAGGCAGAGTGGAAATAATAGATTGAGACAGCTGAGGGGGGAATTGGCTCTTCGGATATAAAAGAGAGAGAGAGTCAGAGAGGCTTGTCCTTACTACACGATATCCCTCAATACCATCCAGTGTGAATACAATTCTTGACTTTGAATCCCACCATACAAAATCTTTCCCTTCGTATTTCATGCTATAATACAAGTTGCTCCACAACAACGTTAATTGAACTAAGTCGTAAAACATAATTGACCATCCAGAACTGACCAAATCAACCCAGACATAGAAGTAATACCCCTGTAAGAATGCCCATGCATGCCTTCTAATGTTGCGAAATTCTATCCAAATTAAATGCAACCGCAATATTGTCGGCAATCAAGATTAGGGAGTCTTACCAGCTACACCTGAGGCATACCGGAAAACAGCACACCATTGGGACCTGCTCACATACCGATAAGGTATTGCAGTGCTAGAGGTGTTTAAAGGGTTTTATGCCAAAACTAATTGGACGCATAGTGGAAGGCTATACGAATCTCACGTTTGACCATCGTACTTGTGCTTGAAGAATCCTAGAGGTGGAGGACACCTAATGGCGCTAATGCTCTACTTGCAACCTTTATAGTACAACAAAGTCAATACAGCGATTGAAAATAAGAAGAACCTTCCCAGGCGGAAAAATCAACAAAGACCAGAATCACCAATCAATTAGAATGAAGATCAACATCAACATAGCAGTGAAATAGCCAAGCGTCATACGTACTAAAAGTAACAAGTATGTAACAAATTATTTTTCAGCCAAATGCTCCACTGCAATACACATGTATCTTAAGGAGATACACAAAACCATAAACAAACAGAAAAATGGGTCTTCACTGCCACTGCTTCAAAGACACAGCCAATTGAGGACTTTGCTGAAGCTGTAGACAGAGGGCAGTACAAGGATTAGGTCACGCAGAAAGGGAAATGTTACACAAGCACATAGAGGTGGGTGACCCCAAGATCCATGAACCATTCATTACTAAAATGCAATGTAAGAGCATAAACAGCGAGTCACTGGCTTTCAGATTTACAAGTCAAGTTTTCTGCAAAGAGCTAGACTATTTCTTTACGTAAGAAGTTGCACCTCACAGGGCATGGACATAAAGAGGGAGCAAATCCAAAAGTAGCCAGAACACAACAAATGCATCAAGGTAAAAAAAGATGATGCAAATCTAAAAATAAGTTGAAGTACTGCAGATTATCCTGGAGAGTTGTTCAATAAGACAACAACATTGATGAACTCGGAAAAAGATGGGTAACAATTGATAGATAGAAATTTCTAAAACAGAATAAATAGTAGGTTACGTTGATTGTAGAGCTCAACACACAGATTTCTGTTCCAATACAACGATAGGGAACTCCAACCCAGATAAGTATTCATTCTCTTGTTAACTTACTTATTACTAAGTAGTAGATTAGATCCCACATAAAGATTCATAAAT